ATTGCTCTTCATTGCAGAGAATGTGAGGGAGATTCCTACACCTGAGCCATTCTTTTTAGGTGACAAATCTGAGGAACTGTCCCAGATTGACGTGTCGATAGAGGTTGTTTGGGAGCAAATTGATAAATTAAACAGTAATAAGTCACCAGGACCAGATGGTATTCATCCAAGAGCTCTGAAGGAATTCAAATATGAAACTACAGAACTATCAACTGAGGTATGGAACCTATTGCTTAAATCAGCTTCTGTACCGGATTACTGGACGGTAGCTAATGTAATGCTGGTTTTGTAAAGGACTCCCGAGGCAATCCCGGCAATTACAGAGTGGTAAGCATAACTTCAGAACCAGTCAAATTGGTTGAAACTCTAGTAAAGAATGGAATTATCAGACACAGAGATGAACATGCTGTGTTGGTGAAGAGTCAACACTGCTTTTGTAAAGGGAAACCACGCCTCCCCAATCTATTAGAATTCTTTGAGGGGATCAATAGGCATGTGGAGAAGGGTAATCCAGTGGATATAGTGTACTTGGACTTTCAGAAAGCCTTTGACAAGGTCCCCCACCAAAGCCAGGGGCGGGGAACCTTTTTTGGTATCAGGGGCCATTGACCCACCGAAAAAATCAATGGTGGGCCACACACGTTCAACTCAACTGCCCGGGGGTGCAGAGGCCCCGAGTCTCGGTGTCGTCATCCCCCTCCCACCCCCCGTGAGGCTGGAGTCGCAAGTGCTAGCTTGCCCCACTGTGGGGGGAAGCCCCAAGCTTCTGTGCCCCCGCCCCCGGTGGGTGAGTTGAACATGTGTGGCCTGCAGGCCGGATGAAAATGAGCAAGGAGCCAGATCCAGCCTGTGGGCCGTAGGTTTCCCACCCCTGCTCTAAGCAAAGTAAGCAATCATGGGATAAGAGGGAAGGTCCTCTGCTGGATCAGTAATTGGTTAAAAGAGAGGAAACAAAGGGTAGGAATAAATGGCCAGTTTTCAAAGTGGAAAGAGGTAAATAGTAGGTCCCACAAAGATCTGGACTGGAACAGTGCTGGTCAACCGATTCATCAATGGTCTGGAAAAAGGAGTAAACAATGAGATGGCAAAGTTTGCAGATGATATAAAGTTACTCAAGATAGTTAAGTCCAAAGCAGACTATGAAGAGTCACAAAACTGGGTGACTGAGCAACTATACATATAAAATGATGGGGTCTAAATTAGCTGTTATCATTCACGAAAGAGATTTTGGAGACATTGTGGATAATTTTCTGAAAACAATCACCCAATGTGCAGGAGCAGTCGAAAAAGCTAACAGAATGTTAGGAACCATTAGGAAAGGGATAGATAATAAAACAGAAAATGTCATAATTCAACTATATAAATCCATGGTATAACCACATCTTGAATACTTCATGCAGATGTTGTCGCCCCATCTCAAAAAAGATATATTGGAACTGGAAAAGGTACAGACAAGGGCAACGAAAATGACCAGGAGTATAGAACTGCTTCCATATGAGGAGAGATTAATAAGACGAACTATTCAGCTTGGAAAAAAGACGACTAAGAGAGGATATGATGAAGATCTATAAAATTGTGACTGGAGAAAATGAATAATGTAGGGTTATTTTCCCCCTTCACATAACACAAGAACCAGGGGTCAGCCAATGAAATTAATAGGCAATAGGTTTAAAACTAACATAAGCAAATACTTCTTCACACAACGCACCGTCAACCTGTAGAACTCATTGCCATGGGACATTGTGAAGGCCAAAAATATAACTGGGTTCAAAAAAGAACTAGATAAATTCATGGAGGATAGGTCCAGCAATGGAAATTAGCCAAGATGGTAAGGGACGCAACCCCATCCTCTGGGTGCACCCCTAGCCTCTGACTGCCAGAAGTTGGGAATGAATGACAGGGGATGGATCACTCGCTGATTGCCATGCTCCTGGTTACTCCCTCTTGGGCACCTGGCACCGGCCACTGTCAGAAGACAGGATACTGGGCTAGATGGACCATTGGTCTGACCCAGTCTGGCTGTTCTTAGGTTCTATTCCCACTCCAGGTTCATGCCTGTTTAGGCCGCTTTTGGGGATGCTACCCTTTGGGTCAGATGCTGAACCAAGCTGTTGTTTGCCAGTGGGTGTCTATGTGGAAGTTAAAACCCCAAGCGCTTACTGAGGTGGCCGACCAATATTTCCCCTCTAATACACCCATTCCACAGCTTTGTGCCAGCTATTATTGTGCAGACCGTGGTAGCTCCATTTCACTACAGGCATTGAGCTCTAGTTTTTGTAGAACATCTCTGGATTCCGCAAGTATAACAGACTCCAAACAAGGTCAGTTCAAAATGACACATGGAAGTACAGGCTCCAGCCTATCTCCTAGGCCTCCATCGAGGCTGGATTGGTCCATGCATCAGGACAGAGCTCATCTGGGAGTGACCAGGCAGTTGCCCACCATTACAAGCAGCCAGTTGTTAAAACAGTGCTTAGGAGAGAAGCTCCCAAATGTTTGTGGCTGTCTTCATAGACCTCAGCATCATGTCACTGCAACCTCTCTCTGCTGACAGTCACTCGCAGGCATGTTGTTGTTCTGGACCACTCTTGGCAACACAGAAATTTATATGCCCGGCTTTATTGGCCAGTGACATGCACCCAGGTGTGGGAAGCTAGTGCCTCTCCCACACAGATCCACATTTGAGAAGGAGAGTGGAAGATCTTGCACTAGCAAATGGCATCCTAGGTGAAGGCTGAAGTCAGTGTTTAGTTAAACATTCCTTCAGCTTTAATAATTGAAGGTGTTCTCAGTTACAAAGGTGAGGGAGTTAAGTCAGCTGTTTACTCATGCCTCTCTCAGGCAAAACACCCATTGGCTTGGGATCCAGAAGAAGATATTGGAAAATTCTGTGGGGGTGGGGGAAAAGGACAGGATGGAGTTTGCAGCCAGCTTCTTTGGTTCTGCTCCTTTATTTGCAAATATTAGGTTAAAACCCTTGATTTTAAACTTTTTTTTTTTTTTTTTGGTTTTGTCCTTTGCTCTGTTTGCAGTTTCCCTCTCACTGTTTGGTTTAGTTAATCAGTCTTTGAAGACAAACAGTCATGGGGAACAGCAAGGGGAACATGAAGCCAACCTGGCCTTGCATGGCTGATCTGGATTAAACCCTTTTCATTACTACTATAGGACAGTGAAAGAGCCTCTGTGGGGCTGGAGGTTAATGGTTCATTGTCAGTTGCTAAGATTTATTGCGGTGTGGCCATGCCGACAGCGAGTTAATTATGACTGATGGTTACATGATGGCTTCCAGAAGAGATTGCAGTGGGAACTGATGCAAACACAATGTTTGTCGCAACCTCTGATTCTATCTGTGGAGGAGGAAACAGGAAGTTCGGCCGTTTGTTGATTGCAGTAACCCATCAAATCCAATCTAAGTATAGATACAATCAGGGAGCTACACATGGAAAACATTGTCTTTCTTTCCATTCTCTATGGCTTCTAAGTAACCAAGAGGGAGAAGGCGTCTTCTGTGATGATTCCTTTGTTCACTGGCTGGTGGGTTAGTCCTAGAGAAGGAAAGTCTTACAGTTAAACATCAGGATGGAGGATTAAAAGACCTGGGATCTGTTCCCGGCTCTGTCACAGACTCACTCTGTGACTTTAGGCAGATCACTTCACTACTCTGTGCCTCGGTTTCCCCATCTGAAAAGTGGGCACAATGCTGCTTCCCTGCTGTCATAACATACAGAGCCACAGACCTTCTTAAACAATGGGGTTTTATTTGGGAGCCATGAGCCACAAACAAAACAAGTGAGCTCCTGACTTCGTTCCTGGAGACCCCTCACTTTCCTGGACCCTTAGGACAGCACCGAGGCGTCGAGTGGCTGAACGGCATTGCTGCAAGCATGTCTCACTGCACCTACATCACAGCGCAGGAGGAGGCTTCCATCATCCCCGTCAGAGGGGGTGTGTAGGGCTCAGCTGGAAGGTGCTAGAACAGGTGTCGGCAACCTTTCAGAAGTGCTGTGCCGAGTCTTCATTTATTCACTCTAATTTAAGGTTTTGCATGCCAGTAATACATTTTAACGTTTTTAGAAGGTCTCTTTCTATAAGTCTATAATATATAACTAAACTATTGTTGTATGTAAAGTAAATAAGGTTTTTAAAACGTTTAAGATGCTTCATTTAAAATTAAATTAAAATGCAGAGCCCCTGGACCGGTGGCCAGGACCCGGGCAGTGTGAGTGCCACTGAAAATCAGCTTGCGTGCCGCCTTCAGCACGCGTGCCATAGCTTGCCTACCCCTGTGCTAGAAAAACGCAGTGTTATTCTGACCAGCCTTTTAGCTCAGCACTTGTGAACATATATTCTGTCTCAGGGCACAAACAAAAATAGCACCAAGTTTTCTCCTCCGAGTCTTTAGTGGACAGAGGTTCAAATCACCAAAATACAACTTAGTTCAACATGCTTCTCAGTCTGGGAGAGAGGCCCAGGGCTGGACTGAGGTGCATTGGCAGAGCTGCATGTGGAGATCCCAGGGCTGGATCAGCCATGGTGGTGGTAGGGGGGCAGGGTGTGGATCAGGACTGAGGGGCATTGGTAGAGCTGGGCATGGAGAGATCCCAGGGCTGAACAAAGGGCACAGGCAGAGCTGTGAGGAGCAAGCTTTGTTCTATCCAGGACTATCAGTCCCTCATTTTCAAGACACTTGAATTCACACAAAGCTATTTGACAGTGACTGCTGCTAACAACATCTAAAATGCTGCTGGTTGTTGGGTTAACTCTGTTGCTGCTTTGCCAGGGAAAGAAGCTCATTTCTGTTTTGCAGCAAAATAGCCCACCAAACAATGTGAATGGGTCAGCCACCTGAAAGGCACAAGCAGTGCTGTGACGCCTCACAGAAGCTTGGTCCAGAAGTCTCCATTTCCCCGAGCCTGCACTATCTGGATCCATCAGGGCTGCTCTCTCTGTTTGATTGGCTGCCTGGGATGTACTCCGACATGCTCTGCCCGCCCACGGCCATTCACCTCTTCCCGTGGCCAGGGGTTTGGAGTTCACATTTTGCAACGTCCACGTTCCAGGGCTGAGTCTGTCCATTCTGAAGCTGAGGGGCACAATCGACCTTGGGGCCATGAAGTTCCAGGAGTTCTTCTTCCTTCTCTTTCTTGCCAATCTGCCCACAGCCAGAGGGAGCCCGACTGGGAGCCAAGCCCAGGATATCCAAGTGCAGGAGAATTTCGACCCCGAACGGGTAACAACTGTCTAGCGCTTACATTAACTCTCAGGGGCAGATTAGAAAAGTGAAGTGTGTTTTGTCTCTAAAAATGTCAATATTTTCAATCGTTGTCTCAGGTCCTCTTCCAACAAGAGCTGGACCAGAGCTGGAAGGATCTCGCTCTGATCCACATCAATTAGAGGGATACAGAGCTGGGGTGCTAGTGTGGGTGCTCCTGTGATGAATGTGTATTGGGATAGGTGCTGCATCTCACTGCGGACACCCTGATAGGAAGGGCTTAAGTGTGTGCAGAGGGGGAAGTGAATGAGTGAGTCTGTGTGATATAACAGATATGGACAATGCACCTTTCCCATGTAGGGTGCCCGTGTGCATGGCTGGGGGGGGCTGTAGGATTTGTATCAGACAGGGAACAATTTGTTATGTGGAAAAGAATCAGCATACACTGCAGTGGGAGCAACCAGTCAAGGGAATCTGAGGGGAAACTATCTTGTGGGCAGAGCTGCCAGACTCTGGAGCCAAGTGGTTCCCCGTCAGATTTCTTTTAAGTGGCATTTAATAGACAACACTTTTCAAAGGCCACCCTGAGAAGGACTCAGACTGCTTACCAGGCTGAGACGGGGCGTGGATTTCAGGGTGTCTACACTGTACCGGTGCAGCGCGGGTGGGGAAGAGAGTTCTCCGTTGGCACAGCAGAACCACCTCCGCGAGCGGCAGAAGCCGTGTTGGCAGGAAAAGCTCCCTCCAACATAGCGCTGTGCACATGAATGCTTATGTCATGTAACTTATGTCATTGGGGGGGTGGAATATTCACACCCTTGAGCGACATAAGTTTTGCCGACACAGGCTGTAGTGTAGACATAACCTATGTATCTATCTAGGCCAGTGGTCCTCAAACTTTTTACCTCATGCCCCTCCCTTACCCCTGTCTGTGCCCCTCCCCCTAGAACCAGGGCCGGGAGTGGGGCTGCAGCTCTGGGAGCAGGGAGGACGTGGATGGGGTAAGGAGGCCAAGGCTGGGGCCTCGGCCAGGGGTGGGGCCAGGAGTGGGGCACGGGGCCTCAGCCAGGGGTGGGGCCAGGAGCCCTGAGCACGGTGCTGGCAGCTAGGGCCCCGGGCAGAGGGCCGGGAGTGGAGGCCCGGGCGTGGGGCAAGCAGCCAAGGCTGGGGCCAGGAGCGGAGCTGGGTGGCACTCCCTCCCCTCCTCCCATGGGGCTGGCCCAGGCCCCAGCTGCGCCCCCCCAAACGTTCTTCTGCCCTCCCCCCGGGGGCATGCCCCACAGTCTGGGGACCTCTGATCAAGGCTTTGTACTGTGCATTAACTACTTTGTCTCTTCTGCTTTCTTCAGCCTTGGCACAAGCTGTTGGTCAGAGACATGGCTATAGGGCTGGCCCAGTGGTGTAATGTGCAGCTATGTGAGAAGAAGGGTTTGGAGCTTAAGCCCAGCAGGGAAGGAACAGCTAGCGTTCAGCAGCAGCTTTCCCTGCTGCCCCACAAGCAGAGTCAGGAGGCAGTGGGTCTGACACTAAGTTGGGAGGGCAAGTAGAAGTGCAGAAAACCCTGAAAATTCCACAAATCCTCAGCAGAGATGGAATGTCCCTGGCCTGCGAGTCTGGGGCAGTCACAGGCTGTGCTTTCCTTTCTCCTAGGTATATGGGAAATGGTATGACATTGCCACTGGCACAACATGCAAATGGATGAAGCAATACAAGGATAAATTCAACATGGGCACGCTGGTGCTGGGACCAGGGCTGACCAGTAATCAGATCAGCACCACCAGCACCAGACTCAGGTAGGCGTTACCCGAAACACAGGAACACAACCTGGACGTACAGTGCACCCAGGAGACTCAGAGCTGCAGCACCCTCCAGTGGGCCTGATTTTCAGAGCTGCTGCCCCCTGCAGGTCCCACTGGCTTCAGTTGGACGGTCCTGAAAATCAGACCCATTGCAGTTATAATAATATAATATGGAGATATACCTATCTCCTAGAACTGGAAGGGACCTTGAAAAAGTTATTGAGTCCAGTCCCCTGCCTTCACTAGCAGGACCAAGTACTGATTTTGCTCCAGATCCCTAAGTGGCCCCTTCAAGGATTGAACTCATAATTCTGGGTTTAGCAGCCCAATGCTCAAACCACTGAGCTATCCCACCCCCTAATTCAGTATTGCAGGGGGTCTGCTTACATACCGCCTGCTGCAATGCTGGACACAGCACTCCCCCATCTGTGCCTGAGATTAACCAGCTACAAAATGGGGGTATCGCTAGACAGGCTGTTCATGAAACCCTTTGAGATCTGGGGGTGAAATGAGAGGAGAGTCTGGGCACAGCGGGAAGGAGCTAAAGGAGAAATTAATTCTGAATCCCAGGCATCTCTTGGTTGGAATTGCAACCTGGAAGGAGGGAATGAATTTCAATGGAAATACAGACCTTCAGAACCTACCCACGTGATTAAGGGACCCCCTGAACAGACACACAAGTTGATTGCAGACCCGTTATCTACTCCAGCTGAGGAGCAAGTCTAGCTTTGACTAATGCTGATGTTACTGAAGGTGCCTGTGACCTTTTGACTTGGCAGCATCAAAAGATGTTTACACGGGCTCCTCCCTGCTTCCAGCACAAAAGCCTAAAAACCCTTAAAATGACAGTACAAAATAAAAGGAGGCAAAACTGCTCGGTACTGTCCCACTATACTAGTCATGCAGGGTCAAATCCTGCTCCTTCCTCCTCATCTGTGGAGGCCCAGGTCCACCAGATTCATTGGGGCCGAAAGTGGGGGGGAGTTGGAGGTCTCTTGTGATGGGTGCTGGGGTGAGGGCAGGGCCAATGGATCCACAGCCCTAGGGGCCTACAGAGCATCACTTGGCAGTGACTAAAGAACTCTGGTGGCCTGTGATTGGAGTGGGACTGGGAATAGCTGCAGTTATTAGAGGTTTTCTCTCTCCTTCCCAGGCAAGGTGTCTGCACGCAGGTTTCTGGAGAGTACCAAAAAACCGACATACCTGGAAAATACACCTACTATAACCCCAGTAAGTGTGGGAAGGACAACTTTGCTTTTCTCCTAGAGCTGCATGTACTTAGAACCATTGGATGCAGAACTTGATGTAAAAAGAGAAGGGACGACAGCCCAGTGAGGAGTAAGGCGGGGATGAAACAAAGGGAAGCAAAATGCAACCAGCTACTTGGGATGGAAATCTAGTAGAGACTGTGAAACAGTCTCCCAATGGGTGTGGTAGAAGCTCCGTGGCTTAGGACATTTAAATCCAGGCTTTGGGATAAAGGTCTGAAGAAAGTAGCGCAGGGGCCAATCCTGTTCCAGATCTCTTCCTCCTCTAACTTTGAAGATCCCCCAACAGCAGTCATAAATAAAAGTCCTGTCAGTTTCTCTTTTGAATCAGTTTAAGTTGTTTGTTTATTATCGCCCAGTGTTTTTAACTCTCTTAGATGCAGTGAAGTTACCTGGGTATAAAATGAGAGTAATGCAGCAGTGAATCATGGCCAGTGAAATCAGGTCACGTGCAGCGCATACACTGTGGGGTAGCCTTGGGGCCCTGCACGGATGGTACATCTCCCTGCAGTGAGGCCACGTTAGCTCAAACTGGCGCTACTTCAAAGCCACCACGGTTTAGGCAGAAGCAGCCAGGTTCAGCAAATAGCACAGGCTAGGACCCTGGCCCAGCTGCCACATTTCATCCAGCCCATTTTCAAAGGGCAGATTATCCCCTTTTCACATCCATTTAGAGAAGTGCCCACTGGCGGCTGTGTGTGTATTTCCTTTTCTGCAGGCTGGGACGTGACCATCGACTCCTATGTGGTGCACACCAACTATGAGGAATACTCCATCATTCTAATGCAGAAGAAAAGTAGCTTTGGACTGACCATTACAGCCAAACTCTATGGTATGTGTCTGTGACCAGGGCATCTGGCTGTGGCATTAGCAAAGTGCTCAGGCCCCTGCATCCATTACGGGGTGACAGTGAGGCTGTTGCCCTGGTGCTGTATGATCTGACCTGTGTGGGGCTCAACACCTGTTCCAAACTGGAGAGTCTGGACCAGCCCAACTTTGGTCACAAGAGGCCTGAGTCCCCACACAATTATCCCCCCAATTGGGGGTCATTTGGTCTGGCTTTGGCAGGGTCTGCTCAGGAGAGGCCCAGGGCTGGGGTGTCAAGGGTTGTGTCTCATCAGGATTGAGGTGCAATACAAATATTGGTCCTTACAAGTACTTGGCTGCTGCTGGGGACAGGCTGATGGAGCAAAGATCTGACCTGGTACCTAAATGGTGTGTTCCACAAACTGAGCTGGGGAGGGGAAGCTTGCTCAGAGTGGGCCTGCCTTGAGCTGCAGGAGCTTTGTGGGAGGGATGTGGGGGTGGGATTTCAGACCCTCTCCCAACCCAGACACCACTCACACACCTGCTGAAGTTTGGGTTCTCTCCAGGTAGGAGCCCGGAGCTGCGAGAAGGCCTTATTGTGGATTTCAGGCAGTTTGCTCAGGAGATGGGGATTCCTGAGGACTCCATCTTCATCATGATTAACAAAGGTAACCCAGCTATGATCAGAGTGTCACTGCAGGGCCCCCCTCCTCCCCTGGGCCTCAGGCACCTCCATGGTCCGTATGTTCTGTGACTCGCCCACTCTTTCCAGACCACACTGTCCGCTCCAGCCCGACAGCAGGGAGGGAGAATGCAGCATGTCTGTGTGACGGGTTCCCCCTGGGATGCCACCTGGAACTGGCGTACCACTGAGTCTGCCTGACCCACAAGCCTGGGCTCCCTTTACACTGTATTTCTGTGACATGCCCTCAAGCCCCCTCCAACACACATACAGGTAGGGACATACCCAGCTGCAGGTACACACACATGCTGAGATCTAGGGATTCTCTGCATGGGAAGGCTCAGCTAAGGCACTTCACAGTTCCTAAGGTACGCACACCCCCCCCCTTTGGAGTGTAAACCCAAAATTATATCATCTTACGCTGCACAGGGAACTGTACAGCACAAGCGTATGAAATTCGCCCCCTCCCTCGATGTGGAGGAAGATATGCAGCAGCTTACTGGCCCCAGTTATGAGTCCCATACACTGGTTTTAGACAAAACAAAAACAAGTTTATTAACTACAAAAGATAGATTTTAAGTGATTATAAGGGATAGCAATAAGATCAAAGCAGATTACCTAGCAAATAAACTAAAACACAATCTAAGCCTAATATACTAAAGACACTGGATCTGAGTAGCAAATTCTCACCCTAAGTTTTGTTTTAGGCAGTTTGTAGAGATTCTTGAGGGCAAGCTGCACTTGTTTGCGCTTAAATTTCCAGGTATTCCTTTCACAGGCTAGAAACCCCTCTAGCCTGGGTTCAGCCCTTCTCCCCTAGTCCAGTCTTCGTTTCTCAGGTGTTTCCAGCAATCTTCTTGGGCGGGGAGTCAGTGGAGAACCACAATTGTGTCACTCCCCTGCCTTAAATAGCTTTTGTATATGGCGGGAACCTTTTGTCTCCTCTCTTAGTTCCCACACCTGGTCAGTGGAAAAACAGTACCAGGTGATTTGGTCACATGCCCCTGTAGGGACACAGCAGCCATGACTTGTAGGCTGTTTGTAGCATCCTCAGGAAGGCCCCCAGGAAGGCTCCCTGGTGGGAGATTAGCATCTTCTAAGACCTTCTGTTTTCCCTAATGGCCCTTCCCAGCCAGCCATCTAGACTGATTGCATTCTGTCTAGTGGGCATTCCCCAGATGTAAACACATTTGTAATAGATGCATAGACAATATTCCTAACTTCAGATACCGAAATGATACATGCATACAAATAGGATAATCATATTCAGTAAATCATAACCTTTCCAATGATATCTCACATGCCTTATCTTGCACAAAATACATCATAATTATGCCAAAATCATATCATAATAATATTACTATGAAGAATAAGTATGTAGTGCCACAGGTAGGTTGGAAGAGCAGAGAAGAGAGGTCAGCCAGGGGCTTGAAGGGATGGGCAAGAGGCAGGAAAGTGGGAGAAAGGAAGAGAGATCTGTGGTGAGTAAGAAGTAGCAGAGAGGAGCTGTGTGGAGACAAGGTGACTGGGCCGTCTCTGAATGGATCAGGCTCCCAGGCCCCACGCACCTTCAGCTACAGTCCAGAACAGAGCCGCATGATGGGCTCAAAGGTGGCCGGATGCTGTGATGATGGGCACGGGTTAGTTAGACAGCTGCAGGCGTCCAGGAGGCTTAGGCATAGTGCACCCCCAAGCAGCATCATTTCCCACTCTTGTGTAGAATGGGAACCCTTGTCACCATTCCCAGCCCCGACGTGTCACCAGCACCCTCGCTTGGCTGCTGGATCATTGCCCCACACATGCTGCCCAGCTCCTGAATGCCAGGAGTCCCCCGGGAGGGAGGGGGAGTTCCTCCCACTACTCCCACTTGCACTCCCTACCAGTGAGGTTGCATGCGTTTCCACTGACGAGTGAGACAGAATCCCCTCCATGAGCTCATGTGCTAGTTGGCCAGAGAGGTCCCTGGTGAATGACAGTCCACCCACACCCCACCCTGTTCAGCTCATTGCAGCAGCAGCTCTGTGAGCCCCCATGGTGGAGAAGGAAAAGGGCAAGACCCAGGGGCGGTACCAGGGCGGCTCGCCACCACGGAGTGCACAGTGCGGGGAGGGGGAGTGCCTGGGGAGAGCAGCAAGAGGCTGCAGTGGGGGAAGCTGTTGCAGAGTGTGACGAAAGGCTTCTGCAGAGAGACGCCTGAGACCAGGCAGCTGCCCTAGGCAGGGAGCCTGGGAGGAGGAAGAGAAACCTGATGTTGGGACTTGGATTTTGAGTTTTATTTGTAGTTTATTTCATATGAATTAACCCAGTCCCCAAGGAGGAGTCCTTCTGGCCAAGGGAAAGCCTGGGGGACGTTTTAGTTGAACACTCCAAGAGGGGAAACTGAGGCTGACTATCTGTAGTGTGATCCTAGGCCCCAAGGGGGTGCATGGGCTGTGGCATTGGAAGGGCTGAACCAGGACACACAGTCACTCTGCATTTGAATCACTTGATGGAGAGCTCCCTATGGACACAGGAGGTAACTGCCCTGCCCTGCTTGGCACTGGGGAGGCCCAGCTGGAGTGCTGTGTGCGGTTCTGGGCGCCGCACTTTAGGAAAGATGTGGACAAATTGGAGGGAGGCCAGAGGAGAGGAACAAAAATGATTAAAGGTCTAGATAACTTGACTTGTGAGGAAAGGTTCAGAAAACTGGGCCTACTTAGTCTTGAGAAATGAACACTGAGAGGGGATCTGACAACAGGCTTCAGACATGTTAAGGGCTGTTATAAAGATCACAGTGTCCACGAAGGCAGGACAAGAAGGAATGGGGGTAATCTGCAGCAAAGGAGATTTAGGCTGGATGTTAGGACAGTGAAGCACTAGAATAGGTTAGTGAGGGAGGTTGCGGAATCCCTGTTGTGACGAGTTGGATCACAGAAACCCCCTTGGGAACTGTGCCAACTCATGTGCCAAGACTACTTCTGCCCCTGCTTTCCCTGCCAGCCTGGGACTCCAGCACCCTGTCTTGTTGAACCAGACACGCCCGTCTGCTCCAACACAGACCCAGGGTCTGAACCACGTGCCCCAAAGCTGCAGACTTAACTGAAAGCAGCCCACAGAAGTGTTCCTGTCTTTAACACTCAGATGCCCAACTCCCAATGGGGTCTAACCCCAAATAAATCCATTTTACCCCATATAAAGCTTATAGAGGGTAAACTCATAAATTGTTCGCCCTCTATAACACTGATAGAGAGATATGCACAGCTGTTTGCCCCCCCCCCCAGGTATTAATACATACTCTGAGTTAATTAACAAGTAAAAAGTGATTTTATTAAATACAGAAAGTAGGATTTAAGTGGTTCCAAGTAGTAGCAGACAGAACAAAGTGAATTATCAAGCAAAATAAAATAGAACATGCAAGTCTATATCTAAGAAACTGAATACAGATAAAAACTTCACCCAGTAAGCTTCCTTTTACAGACTAGTCTCCTTCTAGTCTGGGTCCAGCAATCACTCACACCCCCTGTAGGGACTGTCCTTCGTTCCAGTTTCTTTCAGGTCTCCTTGGGGGTGGGGAGGCTCTCTCTTTAGCCAGCTGAAGACCACATGGAGGGGTCTCCCATGGGCTTAAATAGACTATCTCTTGGGGGTGGAGACCCCACTCCTCTCTCCTATGCAAAGTCCAGCTCTAAGATGGAGTTTTGGAGTCACATGGGCAAGTCACATGTCCATGCATGACTCCGTTTTTACCAGCCAAGCCACATTCCTGGGAAGGCTCTGATGTGGATTGGCATCTTCAAGTTCATTGTTGGCTTAAGTGGTTTTTGATTGGGCACTTAATTTGCACTTTTCTCAAGAAGCTGACCAAATGCTCTACTAGGCTAGTGAAAATCAAGCCAGTACACAGTCAATATTCATAACTTCGAATACAAAAATGATACATGCATACAAATAGGATGAATACATTCAGTAGATCATAACCTTTACATAGATATGTTACATGGCATATGTAGCCTAAAACATATTCCAGTTATGTCACATATACAATCATAAGCATATTCCATAAAGCCTTATGGGGGACACGGTCACACCTGTCTTTGGAGGGATTAAGAACAGGTTGGACAGACCCCTTCAGAGATGGGCTAGGGTTACTTGGTCCTGCCTGGCTGGATGAGATGGCCTCTCTAGGTCCCTTCCAGTCCCTCACTTCTCTGGTTCTATAAGCTGAACTGCCCCCACCTGCTCTCGCCAGGCACTGTACAGCTGTGGTCACACAGGTGGGCTTGCAATTTCAGGGTGATGCGATCCAAAGAGAAGTGTAAGAGTTGGGTGACTGATGGGAGAGGAGCATGAGGAAATGACAGCCATTCTATGCAGGAAACTCTCCTGACGGGGGCAGGCAGGGCAGGACTCAGCCTTTCTGTTCATGGGCACTATGGGGACACAGATACGCAGCATGGTCCATGACAGCCTTGCCAGCCTATTCTCTAGCAATGCCTGGTACTACAGCCTGGGGCGGCCTTCACGTCTGTCACATAGGTCTTGGGGTGGTGGGAGAGAATCCAAGGGCCCAACCAGCTGCATCTGCCCATTTCTCCTGCCCTCACTCCGCCCGCTCCTGCCCGTGCCAGTTCCATGTAGTTCAGATCAGCTCCCACTAAGTGGCCATGCAGATAGCATGGAAGAGTGGTGGGATTCCTAAGCTTCACTCTGCATGCAGACCTGGGGGGGAGCGTGGGGCCTCCTGGAAGTCAGTAGTGTTTATCCCTGTAGACAGAGTGCACATATGTCCGGCGATAATAGAGGTAAACTGGACAGAGTTGGGCAGGCCCGTTAGGAGCTGCCTCTCTCCACCAACAGCTTCCATCTCCTATCTCCCATCCTACTAACGCTCTCCTGTCCTGTCCCTTGGTGCAGGTGAATGTGTTCCTAGCGAGACCCAACCTGAACCCAAGGTGAGTCGATGGGGCTGGATGGAACCTCACAAGCTGAATTTCCTGGGTCTCCAGAAAGCTGTGCTGGAGCGTTAGGCGTCCCTCCAGAAAGTGCAGTCTGGAACTTCACGTTCATTGTGGGATCCAGGCCGCTGGATTAAGGGGGCGCATGCTGCTCAGGCTGGCAGCTCTTCAGAAGGGCCCAGCCTGGCTTTCTCAGCCCCCTTGGGAGATGGCTCTTCACCAGCGCTGATGTCTCTTGATGTGCTTGTGTCTGTGATGACAGTAGACTTGTAAGGAGCCTAGGGTTCAGTAGAA